GTGTGCAGATAATAGTGTGTTTATGAGTGTAGATATCAGCCTTCTCATTAACCAAGTAGATTTAGTTGTGTAGTGTAGTGTGTATGTGTACATATCTGACCTCTGACCTCTACTCTGCTCTCCAAGGAAACTCCTCTGGCATTAGTGGTGAGTAATAGAGTAACCGAGAGCATTTAATGTCTAAGTTCACAGTCTAAACTACTGAAGAAACATTCTGTCTTTGTGTGTGTGTGTGTGTGCGTGTGCATGTTTTTGCATTAATGTAAATGCTCTGAATGCATGTGCACTGGTTTATGTGTGATTAATTAGTATATGATTATTAGATTTTAGTGGGGTGCATCTCACAAAACCTTTAAAAAAAAGATTTAGATCATTTCAATAAATATTTTTCTAATGGATGTTTCATTGTTTTTAAGCAGAATATCATTTATTTTATTTTGTTTATGGGATGAAATGTGACCTGGAAATATGTTTGTGAGATTCACCTGTATGTCTTGACTGTGTTCAGTTGTGAATTTAAATTCAGATGCATCTCATTTGTCTCATCAACTCCAAATAACCTCAAATATGTCTCACAGTGGATCAAGATCAAATCCAGACCTAATACTTAACTTTTTAAAGAATAATAATCAGATATATCTTGTTACAAGGTGCATGACTGTTGTAAATCTGTCCGGCCCGTGTTTTGAATGTAGGTGTGGCCTGTAGCCTATTTTCTACCAAAGATTGCGAGGAGATGGAGAGCCCGTAAGGTGCCCACACAAACCTGTCTATCATGATCTGTAGGTGTTCTAACCACACCCCCTCATGCCTTTATTCATTTCGGTGGCTTGTATTAACAGTGATGTCACAGGAAATGGTTACTTGGTGAAACTTCTTTCGGGTCAGGGTTGATTGTCACACTATTTCTTTTGTGCGGTCTTATTATGAGAAGGGTTGGGAATGTCTACTAACAAACACAGTGATGAGATGGGCTACTTTGTCCATTTGAGAGGTACTCTGAATTATGAAATGCATTTTTGAATATGTCCAATTTGGCATCTGAATTGAATTAACTTCTTTGAAATGTGCCCAACATTCACTAGAGCCTTTAGAGGGCTTGTGGTGTTTTTATGGTGTTAAGTGCTGTACGGCACAGAAATCAGAGTCCTCTCGCCGGTCATCAGATGACTGCAGGAAACGAAGCTCAGCAGCAACAAACATGGGTCAGGTTTACCAAAGTCGTCACACGTGCCGCTACAGGCAGAGATTCATCTGATTCTAATGACTTCAGTAAATCTGATCTCTAACCCTAAAGCCCTCTACATACAGAATGGAACAAACAAAGAGAAAACCTTCACACACCTTTACATGAGGAGAGTGCAAGGTGCACTGATTCATGTGTATGGGTCAATGACAAGATGATCTGGTTTAAAAATGTAGTTTAGTCGAAAACATACCATGTTTATATGTTTTGAATGTATCATGAATATTTGAATCATGAATATACATTTTCTTGGGTCAAACTATTTGGTGCAATTAATAAAAATATTAAATATATATTTTATAACTTACAGTTAAACAACCTTAAAAAAAATTACCACCCCAAAAAAAAAAAAGGATTAAAAATCCAATTTTTTTTAATCATTTTGGAAAAAAATCAGGTCATTGACCTATGTGGAAATTGTCTCTGTTTTATTAAAAGGTTGTGTGCCGGTTTTGTCATGAGAGTGTAAGTGAAAGATATTTTGGTGTCGAGCTGAACAGGAGAACTAATGGGTTCAGATCTGTCACCTCATTTCTTCTAAGTATGAATATGATTAATTTATCTCTGTCTCTCTATGTGTTTATATCTGGTAGGATGACGAGGACGTGTCTTCTGGTGTTCCTGAGTTTGACACAGTGTCTGATAACGGGCTGCTGAGCAGAAACGAGCCCATCCGCAGTAAAGTGTCCAAACTCACTGAAAAACTTCGCAAGCGTGTCCCTTCCAACAACATCGGTCACTATCGATCTCTTTGTACTTCATACTTTTTCGCCATCTATATTATATCCACCTTTAAAACCATATTTTCTTTTTGTCCTTCCACAGGGAACTGTTCCCAGTGCAATTCGGCGTTTTCTGTTTTAAAGAAAAGGGTATGGCCTCTGATCTTTATCCTGTTTAACATGCTATTCAACTTCTATGATGTTTCAGTTTCACTCATGATTGTTTTATTTTTCCAGAGAAACTGCAGTAACTGTGGTGTCAGTTTTTGTTCCCGCTGTTGCTCGTATAAAGTGTTCAAATCCATCATGGGAGCCACAGGTATGAGAAGAGCATGTGAATCTTGTAAAGAATGTTTTATTGAAGACGAATTTACACACTGTTCTTTTTCTTTCTCGCACCCTTCAGCTCCTGAAGCCCAAAGAGAGACTGTATTTGTTTGTTCTATGTGTAATACTTTCCTCACCACCAAGTAGGATTGACGAAATAATCTTTCACCATTGCAATGCTTTGAAAGAAACTAGGAGAAGAACCACAAGACGGCTACTCCAGTGATTCTTGCTGTTTCTTTTCTTCACTGTGGAGCATTTCACATGGACGACCAAAATCCTGCAGCTTATGTTGCCTCAACACTCTTTCTGAGGTTCCTCTTGAGTTTTTTTTTTTGTCTGTCCAAAACTCGTGACCCCTATGTGAACTCCTTTATGTCAAAATGGTGACCTTTTCCTTGGAATATGCTGCTTTCCTCAGTCACCACTATTATTTATCAAAGCCTCGCACCAAGACTGATTGGTTTATTTGGAATTCACTTTGCTGCAATATCAAATGCTGTAGTTTCATCAACCCTTATTATAACATCACTTTCCAGAATGTGAGCCCTTGGTGGGATATACGTCAGATTAATATTAAGGGTCCAGTTTATCTGTTACTATGATATCACATCATCCTAAAGAGGAAAACAAGACCATGAAAACGATTTTGGTTATTTATTAAACTGGATGCCAAAACCAATGAATCTGAGCATTTTATATGGGTCCTATATACTGTACCACATACTGTCAAATCTGAGTCAGTTTAATTCTGTCATAAACCTTTTGACTAAGCCTTTACAATTAAACCTTCTGGCTGCTTATCTGCTTGAACCCATGATTATTGGTTATATAATTTATTTGTGTAAGTTTGTCTGGAAAAGCTTTAATTTATATACATGTATGTTTGTTGTTGGAACACCCTCAGAAACCATTTATACTAATCAAAATAATAGCATTATATTATATCAGCAAATCATACCCAAGAGTACACCTATTCACATAGTTATTGAAAGAATTAGCTATATTCGTGTCATTTTATTTGTCTGTGTGTCTTTAAACCAAGGTTGAAATGTGCTATGTATGAAGCTATGTATGTCGCACTACTGCTATTTAAACACAAATTAAAATCTATTGGGAAGTTATCCATAGTATAGCACCACCTGTTTCCTTGGTTAAATCTACTGTTACAGTAATAAACGATTTAAATATGAATATATAGCTGTGTGGAATTTCTGTGAGGAATTTTCGCGCCACCGTCTGTTAAGATTCTTTTCGCGCGAAACAAACCTGTGTTTTGGCGCCTTTTTTACTGAAAATTATGGCGTTATGGCGTACTGTTGCTATGGTTACCTCCTCCGGCGAACGGATTCTCGTCGTGAGAGTCCCTTAGTGATCTCTGACAAATTTATATCGTAATATTTGTCATTTCCGAAGGAGCTTTTAAAAGTAAATATATAACCCAAAACATGATCTGACTTGGCTGAGCTCAATTCTTGAAAGCGGCATCAGTGGCTCCTCCCTCCGCGCGTCATCAGATTGTGTGATTGTTTCCGGCCCCGCCCCCTCTCCGTTTATCCTCGAGCGCAAACGGTTATTCCCGTGAACCCGTTTCAGCACCGGGACAGGCATCTCGCGCTCGCATGGCAACATGGCCACAGAGGTGAGAAACAGACCTTTATTCATCGTTTTTGTGCCAGGTGTGTTTATATGACCCGTTTTTGTAAGATAGCGTATGAATCTCGGCGTCATTTTGATCGTTTAAATATCACGGATCAGTGCGTGACGTTACAGTGTATAACGTTAGCTCCGTCGCGGTTCTCACGCGTCGTTTTTAAAACCGTTAAAAATCCGTTATAATTGCTGCTCAGCCCATAAGACACGGAATAAAATAAACATACAATACAGAGAGTGAACTAAACCCTATAACAGCTACAAGTGAAGAGCTGACCATTGATCATGGCAACAACATGATAGATAGATAGATAGATAGATAGAGATGAATGGATATAGATAGATAGATAGATAGTGTCATAATCTGGTAATCTTGTTTGTCATTTAGTCAAATGTTCTTTATTATGACTGAATTTAACTAACTATACTAGGTTTCCACCATTTTAAAGGGTGTGATCAGGCAGAGATGTACCTATTTATTCTAGGTGACTAGTTGATCAGAAGCTGTTGTTTTTCTATGTCAGATCGAGTGCTAAAGTAAAAAGGGAGATACCACATATACAAAGACATTTTTTATTGATGTTACTGTTTAAGTTTTGGGTAACACTTTATTTTAAGGCGTCCTTGTTACACGTTACATGTACTTACAATTATAATAACAATAAATTATGCATAATTACATGCAAGTAACGAGCCAAACTCTAATCCTAACCCTAACCATATACTAGTAAGTACATGTAGTCAATTAATATTACTCAGTACTTAAATGTATAATTACACTGTAACAAGGACACCTTAAATTAAAGTGTGACCAAGTTTTGCAACGATACATGTTATAAGAATACAAAATAAGCTTTTTCAGTAGTGCTTTCAGATATGTGGATTTATTTAGTTGTTTATTGCTGACACCGAGTGTCACGGTGGCCTGAAATGCTGTTGCTTAGATCAGATGCTTAGATTGATAAAAGAACGTGTGTTCTTAAAGCATTGTGTTCATCACACAAGATGACAAAGGCTTGTGTTTGTGGTCAGAAGGATCTGGTGCTGTATTCAAATGAGCGCGTGACGTAGCGGAGCACGCAGCTGGACATCAAAGAGGATCAAAGCGGCTGTCCACGGCTCCTTAAGCTCTTTTAGCCAGAGCAGATTGAGTGTTTGTGCGTCTCTTTCATCGGTGACCGGATCAGGAATGAGTTCAGCACCGCGGACAGCGACGGAGCGAACAAAACTCCCGTACTGCCACGAATCTGTAAGAGTTTTGTTTTTATTCCCTTCTTTAAAAGTGATTTAACTGACGATATTTGCTGTGATTTCCTGCGGTTGGGATTTAAAATGTGATCTCACAAGTTGTTCTGGGGTTCATTTAAGAGTTAAATGTATGTCCGCCGTCCCGCCGAGTAACCTTGAGGGCGCGCGTGATGTTGTGGTTCGAGCGCGAGATCTCTTTGTTTAATCTCGTGCGAGCGGAAAACAAGCGTACTCCTCGGGGTAACGGTCAATAATCATTCTGTACAAGCTCCACCGGATGACTAGATTGTGTTTTGATATATTTGGTATCAGCGGTGAGTGTGTGTGTTAAATGATCGTCTCCTCGCGATCGATCGGTTGTGCTCGCGGGAGTCGGTAGCAGTGTCGCTCATCTTTCCGAGACAGTTACCAGGAGCGGCTTGCATGCATAATTAACGAGGCGTTTAGTAACAACAGCCCAGAACGTTTAGTTGTGATAAGTCTCGGTTTACCGGTACAAAAGTGGCGGTAACATAATGCAACGGTGGTATCAGATGGTATTGTACAATGGTATCCTGCTGAAAAAAAACTATAGAAACTATCACAGAATTTCTAATGGTTTTACTGGTTATAATGGGAATTGTACTGGTTTTAATGGAAACTGTAATGGTGCCTGTTGGGTCACCTTCTATTGGTGGCTTGTTAAGACCACTAAATCCTAATGGGATATTATATATACCATTTTAATGGTTAAAAGTTGATGGTTTATAATGGTATTTGTAGTGGAAACCATTAGAATTTCTGTGATGGTTTCTATTGCTTTTTCAGCAGGGTATTTATATAGAACTGTGAAGTACTTAAAAAACATGGTGCTAGCATGCTATATGTCCCTAAATCAAAAGTACCTAAGGTATTGCTTACAAAATTTTGCCAGTTGTACATTGTCCATGGTCCATGTATCATTTGAAGTAGCATGGGATGGTATATGAACGTGTTAATAATTGCATACAGTGGTTTATATCGAAGTACCATTCTTTCATTAGATTTTTCCCAACATCGTTTAGTTCTAGATCCTTCTGAGTGTATTTTTGAGGAGTTCAACAGGTAAATGTCGTGTTGTGCATTATTTGACACCAGATATGCCTTTTATCTGAGCTGTGCAAGAATTCTTGAGATCTGAGCAAATGTTGAGTGCCAGAAATTGATCTCGTCCACAGCATTGAAGAGCTGTGTGTGTGTGTTTGAATCAGTGTGTGCTGTCTCAGCCTGTTACTATTTCAGAAGGAGCCATTCACTGGCAGGCCCTGCTGCTAAAACAAAGCAAGTTTTTAAATAACATGTTGCCAGGACTGCCAGGGTAATTATACTGTCCCTTGCTTGCAGTCAGAATAATCTTTATCTGACCTTCAGATGTCCAAAGATAAAGAATAACATACAGTGATGTCCTCATTGATGCCAGTTGAGCTAAGTGTTTGTGCACATCACTGAATTACTCTGAGATAATGACATCACTGAATTACTCTGAGATAATGACATCACTGAATTACTCTGAGATAATGATGAAATCACTGCACTATTCTATAATATGATGACAATACCACTGCATTACTGTATGAGCTAAAGACGGCATCACTGCATTATTCTGTGTCTATGATCTAATGATGGTGATGCAACTGCATTAATATATGAGCGATTGATGATGATGGCATCACTGCATTACTGTATGAGCTAATGACAGAAACATCACTACATTAATGTAGAAGCATATGACGACAGCATCACTGCTTTATGCTGAGCTAATGATGATGACATCTCTCCATTACTCTTTGAGCTCAAAGTGATGCAGTGATGAGCTAACACAATGTCATCACCTGCACTACACTGCTAAAATGTCTAGTACAAGCTGTCACTGACTAGCAACAATGTTCATATGTGATATAGCTGAATGCTAGCGGCTAATTTCCTCGCCAAACTGGTTTCACTAGAAAATTCTACAACGCAGGACAGGAAACTGCACTTGTCAAGCGATTTTCATGCATTGTTTAACATCTAACAGGCGAAGGAAACTGAATTTATGATTAGATCAGAAGGCAGCACACTGTAACCCTCTCTCGTCCTCTGCTGTAGTTCCATAACCTTCAGGAGTTGAGACACAGTGCATCTCTGGCCAATAAGGTCTTCATTCAGAGAGACTACACGGATGGCACCATCTGCAAGTTCCAGACCAAGTTCCCCTCTGAGTTAGACAGCAGGGTAAGAGTGTGTGTGTGTGTGTGTGTGTGTGTGTGTGTGTGTGTGGCAGAACAAAAGAGACACAACGCAAGTAAAAAGGAGAGGATGAGAAAAGGGCTCTTCACTCAGAGAAACTCTGCTCTTCAGCAAAGCACTGCTGAGTGCGCAAACTCCACACAACACAATGAGCTGCTAATAGAGCTGATAATAGAGCTGTTTAAAGGTGTTAGATCATGTTACAGACGCCCAGTAAAGACTTGCTGAGGAAATGACAGGGAAAGGGAGATTAACATGTAGAGCTTTCTGTGTCTTTCTCACAATCTGTTTAATTATTTTGATGCAATCAAGAGTTATCACGTGATGTCTGGCATGAGACTGATATCTTTACAATGTCAGTCAGTTTTTGATTCAAATTCGTTTTTGAATCCCATTCGTTTTTGCCATATAATGTCCTTGGGTAAACTCCCTGGTGCTCTCTGATTGGCTGACTCGTCTTGTCCTTGCACCTGATTGGTCAGATTGAGAGGACGCTGTTTGAGGACACGGTGAAGATGCTGAATAATTACTATGCAGAGGCGGAGAAGATCGGAGGCCAGTCCTACATCGAGGGATGTCTGGCCTGCCTCACGGTTTACCTCGTATTCCTGTGCATCGAGACGCGCTATGAGAAGGTACATTATCATTTTCAGATAAAGCCACCCTGAAATGGCATGTAAAAATAAAACATACTATCATATGTTGCTTTATGTGCCGGTTTTTGCAAACTATGGCAAATAAAAATGATGCTGATGATTAAAAGTTCATCTTGTGTGTGTTTGTGCAGGTGCTGAAGAAGATCTCGCGGTACATTCAGGAGCAGAATGAGAAGGTCTACGCTCCTCGAGGTCTCCTCATCACAGACCCCATAGAGAGAGGCATGAGGGTCGTATCCTTACAGAGTCTATCTGTGTGTGTGTCTGTCTGTCTGTGTGTGTGTGTGTGTGTGTGTGTGAGAACAAATGGTCAGTGGAAGTGCTTGTACTTCAGAAACTGTTGTTAGTCCAGCTTAGGATGTCGCATAAACTCTTTTATTACCTCTTCATTTTGTGTGAGGTTTGCAATTATTGCAACCCTGAAGACAAGATTGTGAACAAAATGTGGGAAATAGCCAAATATTGTTTTTGGCTTATATGTTAATTCAGTTTTTTAACAATAAATTGCTATCACTTCAACAGATTTTGTTGAATATCAAATAAGATAAATATAGTTTTTCATAATTAAATGTATTAATAAAAATATGAATATTTAAGATGTATTTTTATTCCTATATATATTTACACTGCATTAAATTCAAAAGATAATGTTAAATCTCAAATAAGCGAAATATTGTTTTTCGTAATTAAATTAGGTTCATAAGTAATATTTATATATTTTTATATTTATTTATATATTTATACATTATATAATATTTCTAACTTCATAATTATTATATGATCTTATATTTTATATTATTTCTTTTTATAATATATTTTATTTTTCACAATTGAATATCAATTGAACAGATATTGCTATTTTTTTTTACTGAAGAAAGTAGTTAATATAAAATATCTAATAAGCTCTCACTATAAATAATTTGTCAGATTTCTGCCTTTATTGCTTTAAAACAGTAATTGGACCATTGGTTATTATAACTAACTAAAACCATAAAACACTTGAAATAAAATTAAATATAAAAAACATAATAAATTTAATAAAAAATTATATAGAAATACAACAATAATAATAATTTAAAAAATATATATTAAAAATGAAACTAAAATTAAAACAGAAAATGTATAAGTAAAATGCCTTCAAAATATTAACAAAAACTGTAATAGTTTATCAATAATGATAAAATGAAACTGGACACCAGTTTCAATCATATTCATTGCAAGTCGTCTAGTAAAAGCATGTATGTGTAAAGTGATTTGTTTAGTAGTTTGTGCATGTAAGGTTGTGTAATACTGTGATATTACTCCCTTAACCTGTGTGTGTGTGTTAGATTGAGATCAGTGTGTACGAGGATCGCGGCTCCAGCGGTTCAAGCTCAGGAAGCAGCACAACCAGCAGCAGCGGACGATGATTCACACACACACACACACACACTCGCCCACATGTGATGCCTTCATACTAACGCCCGCTGAACAGACACGATAGCAACCGCTCAGCATCGCCAAACACAAACACACCTGACATGAACTGCCTCCACAAGACACATCAGCTTCTGGATCAGCAGCGCGTCATTACCTCAGTCATTACCGCCACCTTCACTGACACCTTCCAGTCACTCGCTGTAGCATTCTGGGTAAAGCGCACATGAGCTTCTGTCACTGTAATATGCAATCTCACTCACAAACGCCTGTGATGTAGCTGCCGATCGGCACACAACAGTCTTCCATCATCACGATTTTTCACCCTTTTTTGTTTGAGAATTTAATGAGCACTTTTACTCTAATTATTGAACAGAAGTCAGATTTTAGACTAGGTAGATGTCAAGGACTGAAATCTAAGCCCATATATTTTATACAGGCCCCAGACACTGCCATCTTATTCCACGGGTACTATTTATGACTTTATTGTTTTATTTCATAGTGTGCTAATCGTTCATACTTTGTACTCATAACGCGTCGTCAGAGCAGAAACGAGTCCTGATGACGTGACTGCCAAGAGCCAGAGCTTCCTCACATGGTCCTTCATCATGAGCTTCCATTTCGTACTGAGAACCTTTGTCCCCTGTTTATGCAAAGATCAAGCGTAAAAGAAGCTGAGAGTGCTTTTCTGTTGTGTAGCAAAATAAATAAACAACGATGGTCAAATGAACTAGTTCTGCTTTTGTGTATTTGATCCACATTTTATTTAAATTTATTTTTATGCACAGGGTTTTATTTAGGCATTTTACACTTGACTAAAAAGAAGTGCTTTCATGTAAAACAGGACATTGTTTTTTGCCATTAAGTTTTTAAGATATTAATATATATGCCTCTTTGGCGCCACTCTGTTTGAGATGTTCTTCTTTCCGTGGGTTGTGCATCGGCATGGCTCTAGCGCGGATTAATCTAATGTTTTGAGGTGTATGTGTATTCACTGTACTTCGGAATTACAGATACATCTTGGAAATATGTCAAAAATAATAAGCTTTGCTGGAAAATGTCATCTGAAGAAGTAAGTAACATGTCTGCCAGTTTCACTTTGACCAACTGAAAAAAAAAAAGTTTTACAATAAATTGTGCTACCAGTGTGATTAAATCTAACGATCGCAATTGCTTTAAAGTTAGCTCAGATCACATCAAACGTGCAAATATTATAATTTGTTCTCAAATTGTTAATGTCAACAGTGTCAACACTGCATTAGTTTAGGGTGTATTTAGTTACCTGTAGATTTGAATTTCTGTACAGTCTAATCTCTAATTGACATAATATTCGATTGTCATAGAAAAAATGTGTTCTTTTAAACTCAAAAATCTATTTAATGTTCCTTATCACTCGTTCTAAAATGACAAGTTTAATTATTACAGCTGCTGTAAGAAGAGGCTACACATTGATCCGCCACCACATGCGATATAGCCTACTAGCCGGGACTCCTTTATGTATACAGACGTGACATAATGACGCAAAGACGAACGGCGGCAAACTAGCATTTCCCGCGAAAACCGACCCAAACCCGAATTAGAAAACATTTTTTACAAGCTTACCGTTGTGAATCGGGGGCTAAGGTGAGGAGATAGTTTTGAACACTGATTGGTTATGTACTTGCTCATTAACTGATTTTGGATCATTTTTAACAAAAAAAAAAAAAGTTACTGAATGCAGCTTTAATGTGCCTCTTAATATTGTAAAGTGTCAACATGTAAGGTCAATCAGCATGACACCGTGAGTTCATCCAGTTCAGCCCTTCAACTTATGTGACTTCTCTTTGTGGAGACAAATATTCATGCAGTAACACTTCACAGCACTGCTGTGTTTCCAGTCAGTCTCTTGAGGTCTGAAAGTACGATATCTTTTTCTCTCCTGTATGTGCATCATCTGATCACTCTGAGGTCCATCTTCATCGTGTTGACAAACACTGTACTTCGGAATTACAGATACATCTTGGAAATATGTCAGAAATAATAAGCTTTGCTGGAAAATGTCATCTGAAGAAGTAAGTAACATGTCTGCCAGTTTCACTTTGACCAACTGAAAAAAAAAAAGTTTTACAATAAATTGTGCTACCAGTGTGATTAAATCACACTTAGCCCCCGATTCACAACGGTAAGCTTGTAAAAAATGTTTTCTAATTCGGGTTTGGGTCGGTTTTCGCGGGAAATGCTAGTTTGCCGCCGTTCGTCTTTGCGTCATTATGTCACGTCTGTATACATAAAGGAGTCCCGGCTGAGACCAGGAGAAGCTCAGGAAGATGAAAACCAGGACAGACAGGAGAGGAAGAGATGCTGCTGTCATACCGGGAGTCTACAGCTGGAGACACAGAGAAAGAGGATGAGGATGAGGATGATGAAACGGGTAAGTTGGAGAAAAACAGGAAAAAACAGATATGATTCTAATGTGGAAAGAAAGAAGAAATTGGTGTGCCTAGACTTGTAATGGTTTTCAGGTAATGTGTTTGAACTTATATTATGCCGTTTATGCATTATGATTCTTCCTATTTATATAAAGAATATTTCCTTCCACGCAACTCAGAGGCGTATTGTTTTAAGCCTATTACCTAGAAACTGCAGTGTAAATAAACTGTACTGTAAATACACTCTACAGTTTTAAATAAAGCAAAGATTTCTGGAGTACGTTTTAAAAATTACAATTTCAGTACTTCTACTTTAAAATTGATTTCAAATTATTTAAATGTATTTATTTTCTACTTCAAAATTTACTTTATTGATTTCTTTTCACTACATTTATTTATTTTTCACATATTTCAGTAATTTCAGTAAGATCGAAGAGTCAACACTCAAAATTCATTTTGTGAAAATCGTTTTGAAATTGGACATTGCTTTGCTTGCTTTAAAGGGGTCATCGGATGCCCATTTTCCACAAGTTGATATGATTCTTTAGGGTCTTAATGAAAAGTCTATAACATACTTTGATTAAAATTTCTCAATGGTAGTGTAAAAAAAACACCCCTTTTACCCTGTCAAAATCAGCTGTTTTCAGCATGCTGTTCTAGTCCATGTTGCTTTAAATGCTAATGAGCTCTGCTGCCCCCGCCCCTCTCTTCCGTGGGGTGACGAGCAGACTGTAAACTTCAGCCACGAAACTGGCTCACTAGCATATATTAGGAAAGGCAATTTGCAAAGATTCATAAAAAACCCTTTATACTAATTTCTTCTGTAGATGAAGCTGGATCACGAATGATTCGCGCCAACTTAAACGCATTTAGGCAGATCGGTGCATTTCCTTCAAAAACGAAAGTAACGTTAATCCTCTGCGTCTTCAGCGGCTCAGATGTCGGGAGTAAATGATGACTGCTATGTTCATTACATCCAACAACAAAACACCTCAATCACCTAATCAGAGACATTCTTGTCTTCCCCTGCACCGGAGTCGACACAATGGTGGACAGGGGTCTAAGGTAAGACGCTAGTGTCAATCAACTATCGTGGGAGTGGCCAGTGCAGAACTACGTCATTCTGACAGGAATCTCAGAACAGCCTAATTAGAGGGTGGGTTTTTATCATTATAGGGTGGATGTGTACACACACTTCCAACACACATTTATGTTCAAACAACAACAAAAGTGAATTTTGCATCCGATGACCCCTTTAACTTTTAGGGGCTCCTTCCCCTAGTGGGCGCTGTCATTGTTTCAAATTTTACTAAATTTACAGCACGATTTTATAGTCACCTGGTGGTGATATTTAGTATAGTGCCTAAACAAAATCTCCCAAGAACAGAAATGTTTGTGATATCAACTTCAAATTTGAAACACAAATTTGTTAAACATATTTCTTTGATTTTAAAGTCCAAATGATTTTGTATTATACATTTTGTATTTCGTGCCGTGCATTTGCTTTACAGTAATCCTATTTATTGAAGTGTTTTCACTTCTGCAATAATCTATTGAGTGTCTGTTAAAGACACCAACCATAGGTCTGTATTACAGCATTCATGAATTACAGCCATTTAAATTCAGATTTAGTGCATTTTCACATCAATGCTCAAAGATGGGAGTGACAGTTAGGCCTAAATCCTATACCACTTTTTTGCAGTGTAGTTCACCAATGGACAGAAAGTAAAGAGACATTCTCAGAACTGCATCTATCCTGCTACATTCATTCACAGTGTATTTTGTCTTCCTAAACTTAAATCTGAATGTCACCTGCACTCACCCACACACGCTCGGCGTATGTTGGGCTTGTAGCCCTCAACACATCTCTTAGAGCTGCACTTATAGTGTCCGTATGTGTTGGTGCACACCGGACGAGTGTGAGGACACACGGCTGGCAGACGCCTGCACTCGTTTACGTCTGAACAGGATGAAGGAAATGGAGACAGAATCACACTCACAGACTGGGCGCTCCCTCACGATTGCTTTATTAGTATTGCACACCATTCCAATTTTGAGTCAACAAGTTCTAAAAAAAAAAGGAAATAAACAAGTGTGTCTGATGTAAACTTTTTCAGATTTAGTTAGTGCTGACTATCATTTTACCCTTAGAAATGTGATGAATAACAGTACAAGTGTTCAGTTTCAATAGCACTACAGGAAAGATTTTGCAGTAACGACTGAAGGTTTTGCATCTGTGGTTGAGTTTGCTGAATAACTGGTTCAGTATCAGACCTCTGACAGCACAGCTCTGATTTAATGAGATGATGACACTCAATGTCCAGCTGAAAATACTCAGGCTCTCGCTGTTTGAGGGGCAAGAGAGAGAAAACATGTCAATGTTTTATAATCATTCAGATGTGTTAATTAAGTGTGTACTGGAATAATTGCCAAAAGACATTAGATCAACGTTTGCATTACATTTAAAATCTTTTCTCTCTGCAATTTTTGAGACTCAAGAGATCTGAGCTCTTAAAACTTCTCAGCCAATTTGAGCAATAAAATCTGCATATTCATTAATATGCAAAACAGGGTCCAAAATTAGTTTTTTTTGTCATTGAGGAAATGCACTGAGCATAAATAGTCATGAATTGCATTTTGAATTTTTGTACTAAAACAACTTTTTTGGACATTTGTGACATTTAAAGCCATTTAAAATTAAATTGTGTATATTGTCTTAAATTCCAAGAGTTACAGAAATGCTTTTAGAAATGTTTTTACCATTTTTACTCAAATTTGGAGCAATTGTGAACTGAGCATGAAATTCACAGATAATCTTACCAATGCAACGGCCGTTTGTGTTGACTGTGAATCCCTCTCCACACTGCAGAGAATCAATACAGAGCCGTACCTCAGTATTCACCATATTTTATTGAAGCCAGATAATATTGACCATCAGATAATAATACGTTTGTGTTTCGTTATCAAATGTCTGTTCCTAAACTGCATATTGTCCATACCTGGCTGTGTAAGGTGTGCATTGACTCCTCCTCCTCATTTGCATGCAGTCGTACCTGTGCATCAGATGTGAGTGCTGACTCCTCCCCCTCATTAGGATATGCGACCTCAATGACTGTGTTCATATCAGCGGACTCGAGCGGCCGAGCGATGGAGCGACCATCCGGCCAGTAGACTTCAATGCTGGTGGCCTCATCGGTTCCTAAGAGCCAATGAAAAGAGACTATTAATCTCATATGCTAATAGCTAGAGTAGTTACTGAGATAGAATGAGTCAAAATTAAATACATTTAAATGTTTGGGGTCTATAAGATTTAAAATAAAAAAAATTTCAAAAGAAGTCTCTTGGGATCAACAAGAAAGTAAAAAATGTTGTATTGTGAAATATTATTACAGTTTAAAATAACTGTTTTCTATGTGAATATCCCTTACCCTTTAATATATAAAAGGCTGCATTTATTTGATCAAAAATACAGTAAAAATGGTTGTATTGTGAAATACTTGTTGAAATGTAAAATATCTGTTTTCTATTTTAATATATTTTAAAATGTAATTTATTCCTGTGGTGCAAAGCTGAATTTTCAGCATCACTACTACAGTCTTCAGTGTCACATGATCCTTCAGAAATCATGCTAATTTGCTGCTCAAGAAACATTTTGTGCATTTACAGTAACATCATAAATGTCATTTTTGATCTATTTAATGCATTCTTGCTGAATAAGAAGTATTAATTTATTTCAAATTAAATCTAACTCACCCCAAACTTTGAACGGTGGTATATGTATGTATATGTAGAATAAAGCAGCTTTTCCTACACTAATACATTATAAAGCAGGCATAAAATGATTTAAATGAAATGACTGAATTAATTTGTAAATGATCTGATCTGTATACCTAACCCAAAGTGAGCCACAGGCTCCATCTCGCACAGATAGCCTGATCCTCCGTCAATGATACGAGTGTGTGCGCCGCTGTGTTTCGTGAACATCACCACCTTCGCTCCACGAGCGAACGAACCGAAACGTGTGCGCGGCACCACACGCAGCCACTTATTAGAGGAGCCCTGCAGAAAAGACAAGAAAGCATGCTGAGCTGACCATTAAAAATGTTTATTTACACTGAATTTTATGTCAGAACTTAAGAGACAATGTATACAGTACATAAACAGTGAGGTCCAAAAGTCTGAAGTCATGGATTGTTACATTGGAAATAAACTTTCTGACATACCTGGTTGACCTTAAACACAGAGATGGGCTGAGAGGCGCTCTCCCCGTGAGCCACCAACAGATCCAGCAGACCGTCACCGTCAAAGTCTGTCACTGTGGCACCTGTTACCCAACCAGAACATCACATTATAATGCTGGCAGTTATTAAAGAAAGACATAAGGTTGTTTATTTACGCAGGAAGTGGCTCTGGTCATGTGATCTCACCTGTGCCCCTCCCCTGAGGCTCAGAGGCGTCGCCCACATCCAGCTCCGTGATGTCAGGGTCAGAGTTCTGCTTCCTCGACACCCTACACACACAAAAGCCAGTGTTATTTCAGAATTATTTACATTATTATTTATGAATTAATAGCTTTTATTTTTTATGTTTTTTAGTTGAAATTTTATTATGTGTTTTTTCTTTTTTAAGTATATTTAAATATTTTATATTCAGCTTTAGTTTTAGGAATTATTTCATTTCTAAATTTTATTTTATTTTTTAAGCTATGTTTATCTAATATTTATATTTTATTTTATTTCAACTGTATTACAATTACTGAAAATTGATTTACAAGGACAAATTAACTATTGAAAAAGACATTATAATCTCTAAACAATATAAATATATATCAGTGAATATCGCACATCAGAGTTGAAGTACCTGAAGATTCTGCTGGGGGCATTTCCTTGGTAAGCAATGTTGTTAAAGAAGACTTCAAGCTGAAGATCGTTGTCAAAGTCGCCAGCGATGACGGTGCGAACGGGTGACGGAGTGGCGAAGGCCTGTGTGGCGACGTCCTACAACAACACAACAGACTGATTCATTATTACAGATACAGATTTATATAGACCCATATGGCAAAAAAAAAAAATCATTCATTCATTCATTTATTTATTTCCAAAATGTTTTTTAAATATGTTCTAAACAGTGAATCTATATGATTTTTATTTATTTTTTTAATATATTTAGTTTCCACCTTCTCACTATTTTTATTGAACTGTTATATGTTCATGTGTTATAGATGAGCAAAGTTTTTCTTCAAAAATGACATATGTGAATGTATTTTCATGGACTGATGATTTATATTTATATTATTAAAATACATTTCCAAATATTTACATAAAAAACACCTTGAATCTCTGCTGGACGTCCTGCAGGTAGAGGCGGTGTGGACCGTTCCAGTTGCCGTAAACAATGTCTGTCTTTCCGTCGCCGTTAAAGTCGGCCAGCGCCACACCTCTCCCGTGCTGATATCTGTCTTCAACTCCTGTCATCAAACCATAAAACATAAGTCTGAGGGAGGATTACAACCCTTACCAAAAAGTTTCCTATTTTTAGTTTAATAGAAGTATACTAATAGCACACTTGAATAAACTTCTTTTTTGTAAGGGAAATCAGTTCTGTAAATATAAAGTCAGGTTTCTCACCTGCCTCGGCGGCCACGTCTGTGAAAGTTCCATCACCGTTGTTCTTGAACAGGAAGTTGAGTCCATTTTCATTGTCGCAAAAAATGTCAGACCTTGTGTCGCTGAGGATTGGACCGACAACTACACCACGGCCACCTTATGAAACAACATTAACACTTTTATAACATTAATATTCCATAACAAGTGTCAGCCCAGCTAGGAATGTTATTGTTCTTAGAATGTTCCGAGAACATTATATGTTCTGGTAATGTTTTCAGCGGCAAGTTTTATTTTAGTTCCCAGAATGTTCTGCTAAAAGATAGGATAACATTCTCTAAAAACATTCTAAAAATGTTTATTGATAACATTATTAGAACATTATCCTCTAACATTCTAGTGGGAAACTTTCCATTGGACATTGGATGTGGACTCAAATGTTGCTCAGATGTCAAATTTTGGTTGAAAGTAAAAACCAAACCTTTGTTTGATGAAGATCCAACTTCATTAAATAACTTATTATAAACCAGATTGACTTTATTTCTGTCATACAATTACAAATTGAGATCTTAGGTTCTATTGAGATTAAAAGAGGTTTAGATGTTGATGTCTGTTTGAAAGTAATAGTTTGGTTTTATGTCACCATTATGGTGATCAGTGTTAGCTTTAGTTCAGCAATTTGACTCTTGACTTTTCAATGTTTTTCTCTAGCTGCTGTATCTATGTTTGTTATGGCAAAACAGCAAGAGATTAGATGGTGTTGGTTGCTTGCTGATGATTAAAATATCAACACGTAGCGGTCTGATTATCTGATTTCATCCAGTCTAATCTATGGTATTAGTTGCATATTATTTACTATAGCAACTCAATGGTTCAACAGACCCAGCAGATTTTAATAAGATCATTTTAAGGATTAAAAAAAATAAAACTTGTTTGTCATACAAACATCAAGAATCAGTGTATGAATCTCAACAATGGTGACATGCTGCATGCTGCAGTGTATTCTGGGTGCATCATACAAAACTAATCCATGGCTTTTTTTTTTGCAATTTGATGCAACAGTAGTGAAATTATACAAAGTATAGTGTTATAAATCTACATACATTAAAAAAAAATCAAAATATAAAAAACCTTTGAGGATTTACGACGCGTTAAACGTATCAGTATATTAGAATGATTTCTGACGAATCATGTGACACTGAAGACTGGAGTAATGATGCTGAAAATTCAGCTTTGATCACAGAAATAAATTGCATTTTCCAGTATGTTGAAATAGAAGTCAGTTAGTTTAAATTGTAATAATATTTTACACTACTACTATTTTTACTGTATTTTTGATCAAATAAAAGCAGCCCTGGTGAGCATAGAGACAGAGCGCATTTAGGCAATCCAACAATACAACCCCCTCCATTGACTTTGTATTGCAGGAAGCTGCCTCCTTGTCACTTCTGACTTATAACAAAAAACAAAACCATGTCTAAAAGCT